GCTCAACCCCTCGCCCTCCGACCCGAGCAGCCTCTCGGGCTAGGATCCCCGCCGGTGCCTGTCCTGCCCTTGAAACGCCTTTTCCCCAGACGCAGCACCCAAACGTGCCCAGTCTGTTGTGCCCCCGCCCCCGGGACGGGCTGCCCACCGCCGACATCTTGAGGCCGCGCACGGCGGGGGAAGGACCGGGCGAGCGGGGGACCTTCATCCGGGTGGTCCCCGCCTGCCCGGGGGAGGGTGGCCTGTTTTAAGCCCTGCGGCTCCCGGTGGGGGTCCCGGGGGGGCTCCGGGAAGGCTCCCGGCGTCGCCCGGCCCGCGCTAGGCCCGGCAGAGGCCGCGCTGTCACCATGGTAACCGCGGCTGGACCGCGGCGGCCCGGCTTGTCCCACGCGGCGGCCCGTAGCGCGGTGCATTGTGGGCCGGGGAAAGATGGCCGCCTCCTTGATGTGGTGGTGAGAGGAGTCGGGCTCTTCGGCGCCGCAGGACGAGTCTCCCCTTCTCCTCCCGCCTCCCGCCCGCTCCCGTTCCGCAGCTCGCCGATCCTCTCTCGGCCCGCCCGTGTGCGAGGGAGCTGGGAGCCGCGATGGGCCGGGCGCGGCTCCCGCCGCAGAGAGTGCAGGGCCCGCAGGGCTAGAGGCGCCAGTGGAGGCCCGGGGCCCGGTCCCCGCCGGCACCTCGGCCCCTCCGCCGGGCCGGGAGACGCCGCCTTCCTCTGAGCCCGGACGGGGCTGCTGTCCGCGGGTGGAGGAGGAGGAGGAGAGTCTCTAGGTGGAAGGCGCTGCTTCCTCCGGGCTCGTCCTTACCTGCACACCTGGGAGAGGAGCCTCCCTCTGCCCTTGCCCCGTCCTCCCCCCCCCGCCCCCCCGCCAGCCCGCCTCTGCGCCTCCACTTGCCGGAGGGATTCCCTCGGCCCCCGCTGCGTGCTGGGCTGGAGATTGCTGCTCACTTGTTGCCTGGCATTTCCCCTCTGATGGAGTCTGAGATGCTGCAGTCGCCTCTTCTGGGGCTTGGGGAGGAGGATGAGTCTGACCTGACTGACTGGAACTTGCCTCTGGCCTTTATGAAGAAAAGGCATTGTGAGAAGATCGAAGGCTCCAAGTCTTTGGCTCAGAGCTGGAGGATGAAGGACCGGGTAATGCTCCAGGGCAGGATGGGTTTTGGAGGAGGTGTGGGGGGGACAAGTGGTGAAAAGGGAGGAGTAAGTGCTCAGAGGGCTACCCTGGGTATTTGATCCGACAGTCTAACTTGCCTTTAGTTTGTGTGCTTGCCATATGGTATTACGGGAAGCAAATGTTCAGATGGGTCAAAAGTACTGACTCCAAGTTCACGCTAGTACGCTCTTTGAGTAGCTCCCTCGTTTAAGATCTTTATGTGAAATTTGGGTACTTGGTGACTTTCAGGAAAGACAATAAAATTAATGAGGTCTTAAAGAGCTCTCTGGATCAGCAGGTTAATGATGTGAGCACAAGGTGCAATAAATGGAGTCATTACAGTTGTCTAGTGGTGAAGATGCACGGAAGCTTTGTGCTTTTGAAGCTTGCCACCAGCATGTTTTGTGGAATATAGAAATAAACCATTCTTTGTGTGTGTGGAAACTGAGATTATGTGATTTTGAGGGCAGAAAATAGTTATTAGATGAAGCACGCACTGTATTAAAGCAAGGTGCTTCTCTTGTGTTTGAATGTATGTTGCATATTAAACTGATAAAACCAAGTGTGTCAAAGAAAGTTACCTGCCAGAGGGTCTTGAATCCTGCGTTGCGTCCATGTCCCAACTTAAACATTTAAGTTAAAAGCAAACAAACAGAGCACCTAAGAAATGTCATGGATCATCAGTTCCACTCATTCTATTCTTGGAAACTGCTTTAGGTTGCAGGATTTCCTAGGTCTCAAAGTTGTTTTGCCCATAACTTTGTGTTTATGAATATGTATGAATTTTTTGGGTGACCAGACTTCTGTTATGTTTATGATCTCTCTTGTAATACTGTGGAGTAACTTGGGAACTGCTGTTGAAACTCCATCCTGTAATTTCTTTCCAGAGGCATTATGACCAGGCATGAGGATGCTATACATGAGCCTAAATGTTCCTTGAGGGGTGTTCACCTAAATGGTTATAGTGCTTAGAAGTTCTGGGGAAGGCTGTGGCTGAACCAGAATCATTTGACTGAGTAGAATCATGTACTGAAAATTTCACTTGGCAGATCGTTAATGGATTGAATTGAGGTTTTTTTGGGTGTAATTTAAACGAGCCACAGAACACAAAGTTTTGTGGTATGTCTTCTTTAAAGGGTTTTGGCAAAGAAGAGATGTTTCTCTAGTAGACTGTGGAGGTGTGATGAGCTTGCTTGTCTATTTTAGTGTTCCCTCTGTCTTCCTGTGAAGCTTCCTGTTCACTTATTTTCTGATTTGCAAAGTTGTCTTTTTCTAAATTGGGAATGACATTGACTTGATCAAGATAACCAATAGGTTGTACAGCATAAGCATGAGTAAAGTGGTAGTAATCAGCTGTCTTCTCTGTATTTGTTGTTAAACATTTCATATGCATGTTACAGCCAAAGAGAGTCATTTCAATGAAGACAAGAGCACTGGTTACAGTGATCATCACAGCCCAATTCCTACCATCCTTACTCTTATGGAGTTGCAGTTTCTTCCTCTGAGAGTCCTCTGTGCTGTGAATTATGTGCTTTTTGCGAAATAGTGTGCTACTTGCTGTGAATGAGCTCAGCGAAATGAGACCCTGAATCATTCTCCAAGATATTGAGTCTTATTTTTGTAAATGAAGAAAATAAGAGCAAATCTGAAATTTTCTGTTTGGTCCTTCTGTTTTCATTGTCAGCTTGAATCAAATAACTTTTCTTTATATTAGGATTAGTGGTGCTGCTCATGTGTCATTTGTATCTGGACAGATTTATTAGGCATTGTTTGGACAAACTTGCCGTTGTGTATAATTACTTTTTGCTTAGGAACAGGTTCATAGGAGTATATAGAAAGCAGATAAAGACATCTGAAAGAGGAAGAGAAGCTGATTTGAGACTGCTCAATCTCATTACTTTTAAATCTTAATAGTTACTTTTAATATCTTGTATTTTATTCAACTTTTTAGCTATCATTGGATGTCTCCTTAGCATTTGATGTGATATAACAAACTTACCAGAACCAAAAATGGTGAAGAAAGGGGTCTGAAGATGGGGTGTTTAGAATTCTGTATGGAAAATGGTGTTTGTTAAATATTTTCCCACAGCTAACTCAAGTTAGGTTAGTCCTGCGAAATAGTTCATAAAGTCATATAATGTGGTTTGACCTTGCGTTATGTGAACAGAAAGTAGAAGGCTAGCTTGCTAGTTCATGCTGCTGCTGTTTTCACGTAGACCAACTGAAAATAGCAGTTTGAGTGTAACGGGTTTGTCCAGCAAACCAAGCATTGTAACAAAAATGCAGGAACTTGAGATTTGTGGAGTTTTTATTATGAAGCATTTTGAAATAGTAGTGTGAGGGAAGATATGCAGTAATCTGTCAGCCTTTACTGTCAGGACGTATAATGACCTTTTGTTGATTTTTTTTTTTTTTTTAATTTTTCCTTTTTTTTCCTTTTTCTGATTTCACTTAACTGTTTTGTTATGTGCTCTCTGGCATTATAAATTAATGATTCCTCTCATCTTGTTGTTTTAGCTGTCTTCAGAAAGTTTCCTCTCTTTCTTTTCTCTTCCTTTAGATAATTATTCCTCAGTGATCAGAATTTTGTGTTGCAGCCATGCTTGTTTTGGTCAGCATTCAAGGCCTCTGATGTCTGTCTATAGCTGCTAATCAAATTAAAAGCAACACATAGTCATTTCCCTCCAGTGTCAATCTGACTGTGGCTCTGTTGCATTCCCCAATTTATTTTAGCTTCCTTCTCTTGTCTCTTGCCTCCTTTTTCCACAAGCCAGGTCTGATTGACTTCAGATGTAGTCTTATCTTTGAGATGCTATTGAAAGAGATTTTCTTGAGGGCTGGAGGGGATATACCTCTTGGTGTGAGTTGAGAGTGTGGAAAACATTCCATTATTTTAAATTTGATAAATTAACTTGTCAAAGCTTAGGATGGGAACCCTTATCTGTATTTAAACACACCAGCCTATCTCTAAATCAAGAAATTCTCAAAGATTAACCAAAACAAGTCTCTATTTGCCCAAGTTGCAGGTAAATCTGTGGCATTTTTTCCCTGTGAATCATGAAAAAACACAGGCAGTGGTGGATTTTGCCCTTATTCATCTTCTTGAGTAGTCCTAGGGAGTGATCCTAGCTTTACTGTAGTTGTAGGAAATGATTCACTAAGATTTAGTATGGAATGACTCTTGTTTTCATCTTGCTTTATTGCTCTAAAAAAAAGAGTTTATAAGAACTTGAAGGTACTTTAGAAGGCAGAACTCTAATAAGAGGGAAGAATCAAATAAGAAAAGTAATGAGTGGTAAATCTAGATAAAATAACTGAACATTCGCTTGCCCCCCCCACCCCCTTCATCCAGAATGATTGCTCTGAAAACATTTAAGCCTTCGTCTCCTGCTTTCATGGACTACATATGCCATCAAAGTGACACTACTTTGATCTATTATTTATTTAAAGAATATTTTTAACACAAGAGGGTTGGAATTATGCTTTGTGTATTGAATTAAATCTCACAGCCTCAGTAGCAACCAAATCATGAAACTTGATTTAAATAAAAAGATTTCAAATACACCAGGTTTTACTGACAAGTTGCTACTAAATTCAGAATATTTAAATTAAGATTTGCTGTACTTTAAATATTGATTTCCAAAATAAGCAGAGAGTAACAAGGCTGATTGTAATAGTTTTACTTTAATGTTTTTTTCCTGCTGCCTCATAACTTACTGAGTGAGAATTAAATCCTCTTTTTATGAGAAGAGGAATACACAATTAGGTTTCTATGGAAATGCAGATTAAAGCAGGACTGCATACAAATGCGCTTAATTCAGAGAAGCGGAGTTTACCTGCCTGCATGGTAAATGTTTCATGTGTCAAAGGAAATTAATGAAGAATAGTAGCATTGGAAGTTTGTGCACATCATTTTAGCTTGAAATAGTTGTTTCAAGCTAAGGAAGCTTCCCAGGCACTCTTGTAATGAATGTGGCTTGGCTACTGGTTGCTCTTAGAGCGCTGAAGGATCATCTCCTTGCTCTATTCTGAGCCTAGTTTCATGTGTTTTTTGTGAGCTGAAACGAGGCAGCAGGAATCTTGTGTGGGGAAAGGGTGGGAGTTCATGTTTTGGCAGCAGCCTTCACTTTAGTTTGACTTATTCCATCTTAAATGTTTGTTTTCTGTTTGCTTAGGCATGATCACGGACTATCAACTGTGTTCATGTTTAGGAAACTGATAACCCAGTAAGTAGTCTGGGATCTAACCCAAATGATATGTAGTTTCCGTTCTTCCCCTGCTATGAAGATAAACTCTTAGGAAGACTAACTTGGAGCACTTTGATGCTATAGCGTGGTCCTGAGAACTGGTAATGGTGTGAATCTCTCTCTTCTAGGTCAGTGGTTGAAATCCATTTTAGTTCAATAGTTACTAAAAGTGGCAATTACTGTCTAGTGAGGTGTGTGAATTGAGTGGTAGCATAGGGCACCTGCTGGTTTACAGATGTCTTTAAAAACAAAACAAAACAAAAACCCCAGCTTTTCTCTGAGCTGAACCCCCTGCTGTAAGTAATGAGCACTGTCATCTAAGTTATAGATTTATATCTTCTCTTACCTAGAACAAAGGTCACTTTGAATTAAGGTGGTTGTGTATTGATTGGATAGAGTTGGGAAGCTTGCGCTTTATCTACCACTGTCTACAAATGTTCTTATGTCTAAGCAGAGAGGGGACTTTCATTAACAGCTCTGAAGAGTATAGCTAGTCACATATTTTGAAAGAAAAAGATCTTACCTTTATATATCAGTAGGATACACTGAAATCTTCAACTCGGTCATTTGCTTTCTCATCCTATGAATTTTCTCGCTTCAGCTGAGATCTAGAGAATGTAAAATGAACACTGTTAGCAAATGGCATGACAGAAAATATATCTTTGTTTGTGCATTCAAAAAATGGAGTGAGAGGATGCTTATTTATAAATAATGTGCTTCATTTTTTGACTTGG